CCAATAGGAAGCCAATTCCTATGGGGGCACTCGCGCAGGCTCGCTCCCGAGTCTCACTGCTGTGTCCATTGACACAGACAGCAGGACTCGGCCCCACCCCTACATCCTTGTCACTGGAGTTGATTGACAGGATCCATATACTCAGTGAAGAGGGACAAAGCCAGGAGAGCCGCAGCTCTTATGCACAGTGCTGGATCATGATGGGGCTAAGGTAAGTATAAGGTGAGGGGGCGGGGGGGCATTCGGTAGGTTTATTGAACTGTCCATGTGCTATCCCGGGGTGAACCAGCCCTTACTGTCACATAATATCTGGTAGCAAAGAGCCACATCTTCCTGATGATGACATTTCTATTGCTAGACTGAACCTTGTACAGGACAAACAAAGGTGTGCTGTGTATGTGGCAAGATTGTAATATGTTCCTATGTAATCGCATTCACTTTTATTACTTGAATAGAGATTATCAAGCAGTAAATCAATCTATGTACTGGACTGTGAGGACATGAACAGAAGGAACAGGCCTTTCTTCCACAAAGAGAAATCTCTACCTGGGCAACATAGGGGTTGATTTAAAATCTGGTGCAGCAATGCATAGAGACCAATCGGCTTCCAGTTCTTTTTTTGTCAAAGTTTAATTGAACAAGCTGAAGTTAGAAGCTGATTGGCTATCGTGCAGAGCTGCACCGGATTTTGCATTCCCCAGTTTTAGTAAATCAACTCCATAGTGTGTACATGAGTCTACTATATGGAAACTATATTGGGAATTTGACCAATTTTATTATATGTTTTTACCATGTAAAAATTTTTAGTCGATGTAAACTCTAATTGAATGACATTTAGTTTGCTAAATAACTGTGTATGATCCAAAAAAAACTGCTACATCTTTAATTAAAACACATGTTGTCACCATTTTTCATCCTTTGTTGCACCCCGCTCTTGCTGATCTTTTGCAGCCTCCCTGCAGTCACTTCGTTGGGTACCCCAGGGATGAGTGCATGATGTTTCTCAGGGCAGTTTCCCTATGGTGGCAACAGTGGACCATGACTATGTAATTCAGAGGACCATGACATGTAATTTGCATTGAGACGGCTACATGCAATTTTTACCTGAAGTCCTTATGATAGGGTGACAACTTGGGAGCACACATAGGAGACAGGAACACAGTGTTGTCACCCTAGTACAGGAAGTAATTTTAATGAAAGCTGCAACTTAAAACTATTAAGAATTACTTATAAAATAATATCAACAATCCTAGTCACTAACATCTTTTCCCAAAGTATAGAAAAGATGTTAGTGACTAGGATTGAAAAGGAACACAAGGGGGCACCTCTAAGTGTAGTAAAACAATTCAATGAACCATAAGTATAGCACTCACATGTATGAAGAAGTAAGAAACATTGTAAAAAGTTGGGGACCACAGTATGTAGACACATCCAGGACCAGATGTAGCTGAGAGACAAGCCGGGCATCTGCACACCACGGAAAGCATCGGCTCCTATGGTTGTGATGGAAAGTGGAACCGGAAGTGATGTCAAGAACCCTTTACAATGTTTCTTACTTCTTCATACATGTGAGTTCTTCATACTTATGGTTCATTAAATTGTTTTTAATACTGCACTTGGAGGCGTCCTCTTGTGTTCCTTTTCGTTTCTACAGAGATATATTCCAGTCTCCCAGCAGGGCTTCTCATAGGTGCTTTTTATGGACTTTATTTTTTTTTAATGGACTTTATGAATATGATATGGACTAAATGGGCTTAATATTATTCTTTCGCTAATTATTTGCATACCATACTGTTTTTTATTTCAGGATTGCTCCATATGCCATTTGTATAGTGATTAAGATTACATACACTTTAATACAGGGTTCACTATTGTCACAAAGCATCATGAGTTTGAATACACAGCAGCAGCTGTTTGCTTTCAGACATTTTCTCCTCGACTGACACTGCAACCAGCCCCTCATAACAGAGCAGACAAACAAGAGAAGGGATGAATCACGGGCTAGATCAATGCTGCCCATTGATTCATTTTCTGATTCAGCAAAACCAAGCAAGAGGGAGTGGCATTCATCGAAGGCAATTAAGCAACAATGACTACACCTATAAAAAAAAAAAGTAATACTCGGAGTTACATGCGGGCAACACAAAGAAGTGAATGCGCACTCACCACTGGCATGGACACAATTGCATGTCAAAGTTGGACACGTGGACAGGAATGGGTGCACGGATCTGAACACATAGGCTTCCGTTTCTGCCTGCATGTCAGACTTTGACATGTGATTGTGCCCGTGTCAGCGTGCATGTGCATTCACTTCTACTGACCATCTACACACAGCTCCAAGGTGGATGCATACGCATCTGCATGGAGGATGGGCTTAATGACCCATTTAGGTAAGCCCTAAAGGGAAAGTATCATCATCATCATTATTATTCAGGATTTATAGAGTGTTAGCAGTTTGTGCAGAGCTTTACAATCCAATGAGAGCTAGTACAGTTACAATACCATAAAATACATTAGGGATAAGAGGGCCCTATGCATAAGAGAGCTTGCGATCTAGTAGGGTGGGGCAAGTGGTAAAATAGGTTATAATTGTGGGAGATGAGCTGTATTATGTAGCTTTAATAAGTCCATGTTTTAAATTAATTTTGCAAGGTTTACGCTTTTTATTATTTTTGACATGTAATGTTCGATACAGCGGTCACATTTTTACAAGCTTTGTCTTCCATATTTGTATTATGTACAGATTTATAGAACAGCCACTAGATGGAGCTCTCAGTGTCACAGTGCAATTATAATTATTGTATGGAGTTGTTTGCCCACTTCACTGAAAGTGTTAATAAACGCACAACAGTAAAATCAGTCTGTAAATGCAGTAAAGCATGCTTGTAATACTCATTGTGGAACCTAAGGGGTTAATCCTCTGCATTGTGTAAAATACTGTTTGATCCTGACTTCTCTGATCCTCCCCTTCTTCCAGTGCCCCCCTCTTATCTCCTGATAAGACATATCCTGTAGAGACACTCTGCACATGCTCAGTTTGGTGTGCATTGCTAGAGAGGTTTTTTTTTTTTCTTGAGGGAGTGCATGTGATCAGCACAGGGCCAATCAGCACTGTCCAGACAGAGGTCAGGGGTTCTGCATCCTCCTAGAGCAAAATGAAAACTCCTCCTACAAGCATTAACATGTGCGGAGCTGGATACTGATAGAAGTCACAAGACTGCTCTAACTGCTGATGAGAAAAGGTATTTAGCAGTTTATAGTTACTAAAATAATTGCATTTCCATGCTTTGTTTACTGTGGGAAACCAGATATAGTGAATGCAGGGTCCTGGGTTTAGTAACACTTGAAGTCAATGCTTCTGGTTTTCACATGTGGCCCAGAACAAAAAGCCCCACAATGAAGGGGGCTGGTTCATTATAATACCCTGCTGCACTCTCAGTCTTCTAAGGAGTAAAGGTGCCATGTCTGCTTCCTCTTATCTCCTGATAAGACATATCCTGTGGAGACACTCTACACATGCTCAGTTTGGTAAGTATTGCTAGAGAGGTTTTTTTTTTCTTGGGAGAGTGCATGTGATCAGCACAGAGCCAATCAGCACTGTCCAGACAGAGGTCAGGGGTTCTGCATCTTCCTAGAGCTTATAGAAAACTCCTACAAGCATTAACATGTGCTCAGCTGGACACTGATAGAAGCCACAAGATTGCTCCAACTGTTAATGAGAAAAGGTATTTAGCAGTTTATAGCTACTAAAATAATTGCATTTCCATGTTGTGTGTACTGTGGGAGACCAGATATAGTGAATGCAGGGTCAGGGGTTTAGTAACACTTGAAGTCAATGCTTCTGGTTTTCACATGTGGCCCAGAACAAAAAGCCCCACAATGAAGGGGGTCTGGTTCATTGTAATCCCCTGCTGCACTCTCAGTCTTCTAGCGAGTAAAGTTGCCATGTCTGCATCCCTTTGGATGTAGTTAATGGAAGACAATCATCTTGCAAAATATGTATTTCATCTGTGTGCTTAGCTGTTTGTCTGAAGTTCAGATTTAATTTTGCGGAGCCTTGCAGGTAATTTTTGTAAATATAATGACGTGGGATCCAGTATGTTGGGCTACTTGAAGAACTGGCACTCACATATTTACATAGAAAGCTAAATATATGGAAAAGATAACAGTTGTAAGCCCCGTAGAATATACAGGAAGTATTATATCAGAAATGTTTGTCAGTCATATTGAGAAGGTTCAACAGCTCACACATTCCTTGTATGGAATTTACAGTCATCAGATTATATCTTAAAGGGGAATTTATTTTTATTGCTTCCTTTATTCGTTTTAACTGCTTCCTATTGGGTTGCACATGTGCTATACAGTGGTTGTCATTTCATCACATGAATCGTATCTTACAAATACGGCAAAGGCTTCATAAAGTTGAAGGCAGAACTTTTTCTTAGGAACATCCTGTGTTAAGTGTTTTCTCCATCTGAGCACCTTGAAATCTCTTTGCATTCATTTTTCATGATGAAAAAAGGCTCTGGACAGCATTGGGAACTGGGAGAGTTAAAAAAATTCAAATGCAAACGCTTATAAACACGATTTGCCGCATTTAGACGCATTTACAAGCATTTTGCGTTTGAAACGCTGATAAAATCGACGTCTGAACATAAGTTTGTTGCATTAAAAAAAACAACTGTAAACGACATAGTGTACATGGACACATAGGAAAATATTAGGGTGAGTTCAGGGGCTGCTGAAAAAAACGCTCAACAGCTCCTAAATGTGAGTTTAGCAGCTGCAGAGCCGTAAGACTCTTGCAAGATTTCCTCTCATCCCTGTTGCATCTCTAGACCAGGAAGTGAAGAGAAATTCTCCCCCCAGTGAGACACAGCAAAAAATAAACAGATAGGGGTTTTGGTTCCTCCCAACTCTACCACAACTAAAAGAAAAAAAATTTGGCTATACTCACACTGTATTTTTTTTCTTGGAATTTCTCCCCATTCTTTTATTTTATATTAATTTATTGTTGTTTCATTTCAGGTAATTACAGTATTGATCCAAAAACCTTTTACATTCCTGACGATTTTGTTGATGAATTTGAAGAATTTCCGGATGATGCAATAGACAACATTGAAGGTTTTCCTGATGAAGCCATAGATGCATCTGGAGAGGAATCAGGAATGGAGCCCACACAGCCTCGCACCCGCAGTATAGTGAAGGGAGAAGCAAACAACATTACAAAGCAGGTTCATATGTATCTGACTGGTCAGCTATTGACCAGATTTGTACCATCGGTGTACACCTTGGTATTCATTGTGGCGCTTCCTCTCAATGTCATGGCAATCATCATATTCTTGTTTAAAATGAAGGTCCGGAAGCCAGCCATTGTCTATATGCTGAACCTGGCCATGGCTGACGTCCTCTTTGTCAGTGTTCTACCCTTCAATATCGCTTACCGATTTGCGGGAAATGATTGGCACTTTGGACCTGTCATGTGTCAATTTGTCACGGCAGCATTTTACTTTAACATGTACTGCTCCATCCTGCTCATGACAAGTATAAGTGTGGACCGGTTCTTGGCGGTTGTTTATCCAATGCATTCTCTTTCCTGGCGCACAATGAGTAGAGCCTGGCTGGTCTGCATCTTCATCTGGATTGTGTCCGTTGCCAGCAGTGCACCCCTTTTCATGAATGAGCAAACTAAACATGATGCCTTGTTGGGCATCACCACCTGCCATGATGTACAAGACCTGAAGGACCTCAAGGGATTTTACCTGTACTATTTTACCACTTTCATCATGGTCTTCTTTGTGTTACCATTAATCACTACAACCATCTGTTATATTGGCATCATTCGCAGCTTGAGCAGCAAAAGCATTGAGAACTCATGCAAGAAGACCCGAGCCTTAGTCTTGGCCATTGCGGTGCTCTGTGTTTTCATCATGTGCTTTGGGCCCAGCAATCTCATCTTTCTAATACATTATTTGTACTTCAGTCATGGAGCCAACCAATCTCTGTATTTTGCCTACATTCTCTGTGCCTGCATTAGCAGTGTCAGCTGCTGTCTGGACCCAATTATTTATTACTATGGCTCCACCCAATGTCAAAGGTACTTGTACAGTTTGGTGTGCTGCAAGAACTTAGCTGAGCCTGTAAGCAGCAGTGGTCAGTTGATGAGCAAAAATGAGACAGGTGTCAGCAGTGCAAAAAATAGCGTCTACCGAAAACTTCTGACCTAAATTTTACTTACATGGTTTGCTGAACAGTTGTAGACTTGTACTTTCCTTTAAGCACAGTATAACTTGTTTTACATCAAGTCACTGTGTTGCTTGGGTTGGTCCTTTACAGATCAGATGTTTTCAGTTCATATGATTAACAAATCTTTGTAGATAGGTTAAATACAAAAGATTAAGATATAAAATGTATTTAAGAACCGCCAAATTGGAGTTTGTGTTCAGAAAGTGCTTTCAGTGTAGATCAGCCTTTCTCAACCAGGGTTCCTTGCAACCTTAGGGTTCCTCAAGAGATTTTCTAAGGGTTTCTTGAGTATTCATCAGTTTCTGCCTTGCATATAAGAAACCATCAACAACAATGATCTTTGTATCTATCTGTAATGGGGGTAGTCTTCCCAATGACCACAAATGTAATGGAGCATTGTTATCTGTAATGGGGGTAGTCTTCCCAATGACCACAAATGTAATGGAGCATTGTTTCGTTTCACCATCTTGCTAATGTACTGCCACAGACATAGTAAATATTATCAGAGTTTCCGTGAGACCAGAAAGTTATTTTAAGGGTTCCTCCATGATAAAAAGGCTGAGAAAGGCTGGTGTAGATAGTCTTGAAGCAGAAAAAAAAAAGAGTAATTTTACATTTATGTAATTCCCCTCATCCTAGTTTGTGGGTGACAGGGTGAGATGGCCAACCCAGAATACCTTTTTTTATACTACAAGCTCAGGACTTTCCAGTGGGATTCCAAGGTGTTCCAAGGCCTGATGGAATGTGTAATGGGACATTGTGTTCTGGATCTAGCTTTGGGCCTCCTAAGGGACACCTGTTTACGATATTCAGAAAGGAGCTTCTAGGTTGCTGAACATCTAGACTTTTAAGGGATAACAACCCTAAGAAAGTTTTTCCTTTTCCACTATGTGTACACGTGAACATAGTCTCCTAGCTAATTATGTTAGAGGAGAATATGGGCATGGATGCACTTCTAAGCTATCAGCCACATTCTAATACTTACCTCACTTTTATAAGAACTACTCTCTAGAAACAAACCTATTGAATGTGTCTTCTTTTCTGTCTAGGAACTGAACCTATATAAGGCATTATAAAGATGGTATATGGAGCACTAATACATTTCAAAACTGGGTGAAAGTGATTTGAAGTGCATTAAAAGTCACACCACATGAATTAATAGGGCACTACCATATAAAAAAAAATTGAAAAAGCATGGACAAAGAAATCTGATTTCCTGATTCTGCCTTGGCAAAGACTACGTTGCTTTTGGCTGCCAGGAACTACTGAAGGTATCATACAGTTAAAAACTGCAGAAGGTCTGCAGTGAGATCAGAATATGCCTGGTCTCCTCTACCTACTGTATGCTATATATATTGCGAAATATACATGGTAACACATTTAGCAACAAATTTACAAACATTTCAAGATTGTAGTTCCCCTTAAAGTTTACAGACTATTTAAAGTTATGCTAGTGGAGAAGTATAATACCAAAAGATAATGGATCATGCAGGATCGGGAAACCAGAATAGCTAAGAATAGCTGGCTGTGTTACTCTACAGTGTCTGATGGAAGGACACTGAACAAAAATAGGACTGAGTTGCCATAGAAGTGATCTTTGGTTGTATACTGAAGTAGAAATACATAATTTCAATATAATTTTTCCTGATATGTCAGAGAACAGTGGTGAAAGACAAAAACAGTATAGGCAAATCATTCCTCTATACCACAGGTGTGAAACACAAGGCCCGTGGGCTGAATCCGGCCTCCAGGCCATTTCATGTGGCCCTTGCACCTCTTCTGTAGGTACCCCCTTGTCTCCGCCCTCACCTTGTCTCAACAGTAGGCAGCAGAGGAGAATAAACCTCCTCTACCAAATCCTGTACCTCTCAGTGCAGCAGCAGCAGCACCCCCTCATCTCTGCCTCCCCTGGTCTCAGCAGTCAGCAGACTCTGGTAACTGACTCCACTCCTCCTCTGGCCCTCCTCCAGACCCTGCACTTTCTGCTTTCCAGCTCTGCCCCCAAAGGGGGTGCATGGTGATGTTAGGGAGGGTGTGGGATTCTTGACATCTGATGTAATGGGGGGTAGGGTGCTCTGGGCATCTAGTCTTACAGATACAACTGGCGCTTTGAGGGCAACCAGAATGCTGAAACGTCCAGCGATGAAATGGAGTTTGACACCCCTGCTCTATGCCATGACGATAAGGGACACCAAGCTAACAGAGGATGACTACATGTACCTTGGGCCGTATTTTGAATATTATTCCATAGAATTTTCTTGATGAGAAAGATTAATAAATTGGTTGTGTTGATTAATAAGAAGCTATTTCTTGAATGAGGCAGCTGCATTCATTTTCATTTTTCAGAGTTTTTGCAATTATTTTCATGTGATTATCCTGTCTCTTTGTATCTACACTAATCTCTCCACTGTATCTATGGTGGCAGCCATAGTTTTCATACAGACTGTACTTCAAATTCGTCTGCCTTTGGTCACCTGGTGGTTTGGTTTGGTAGGGCTAGTAGATTGCACAAGAGAGATGACAAGAAGTGACAAGGATCATACATTTCTAGCAAGATCAACAAGTACTTCCTGTACTTGCTGATAAAAAAATTATAGCATGAAACAAAAACTAATGCAGCCACCACATTTAAGGACTGGTAAGCTGCAATATATTACACTTTTTTTGTTGTTAGGTTTAGCCATACTTTAGCACTGTAATCTACATTTCATCCTTCCAGTTGTCACAACTATGTATAGACTTTGGGCGAGTACAGAGGCATACAAACCAATGTAGAATCCAAGAACCACTAATTCTAAAATTGGAGCCAGCAGGTACTTTTAACCCTTTTTACAACAGCATTATACATATATGCTGCAGCTGGTGGGCATGAACGCTTAGCCACCACCTGTACGCGTCACTGTCATCTTCTGGAGTGCACTCATTTGGTCCCCCAGAACTGTGACTGAGCTGTCACCAACATCTCACGTCAACTACCAAGGATTGGGAAATGGTAGGATGGGCTTCTGATTACATCCACTGTGCAGCCAATCACAGTGAACAAATGAAGCCCCTCCTACCAATTTTCAGCATTTCCCCCCACTTAAAGGGCCTGCTCCCACTGGTGGCAGGGAGATATTGAGCCTGAGATGTTTTATTGACGACAGTAGAATATCCGAATCTTCTCTTCTCAGTAATCACAAATAGCCATGTCGACTTTCAGCTGATGTTAAACCCAACTATACAGAAAATCTTTTATGAGTTTATAAAACTGTTCTGACTGTATATGAATCCAGGTTTCCATAACGAACCTTGTGTTCTTTCTTCAAAACTTTCCATGAAGAACCTTTTCTCTATATACAGAAAATGTCACGTGTTGTGTATGAGTGTCTGTGACGTTTCATGTGTCATTGTCACTTTTTCTAAATATTATTGTGTAAAATGTATCTACCGAGGCGATGTAAATGTGAACTATGTTGAAGGCGTGACCGAGAAAGAGTTGACGCAAATTCTTCTATATGTTATGACTGTTAAAGAAAAATGAAAACCACGTATTGTATCTTGCTGTCCATATTTATCTTCTATGCACGTAGTTGTGGCTTGGTGTTTGTATCATTATTTCCCCTCTCTTATAAACAGTATGATGTTACTGTACAAAATGTATCTCTAGCACATACATACTCTGAATAACCTCTCTAGGATGGCATTATGTCAATATTCTGTGTAGATTTTAGAATTCACATCAGAGCTGGCCTCTGCAAGATATGAATGCTGAAATAAAGATGTGGTGGTCCAGGATCCTACGTATGATATGGAACATTACTTCCCAAATCCTGTACTCAGTGATGAAGCTATCCCTACCATAAGGGGGATGGTATGGAACATTTCTTCCCTATTCCCTATCGTAAGGGCCATGGTATGGAACGTTTCTTCCCTGTTCCCTACGGTAAGGGGGATGGTATGGAACATTTCTTCCCTATTCCCTACCGTAAAGGGGATGGTATGGAACATTTCTTCCCTATTCCCTACCGTAAAGGGGATGGTATGGAACGTTTCTTCCCTGTTCCCTACGGTAAGGGGGATGGTATGGAACATTTCTTCCCTATTCCCTACCGTAAAGGGGATGGTATGGAACATTTCTTCCCTGTTCCCTACCGTAAGGGGATGGTATGGAACATTTCTTCCCTGTTCCCTACCGTAAGGGGGATGGTATGGAACATTTCTTCCCTTTCTTACCGTAAGGGGGATGGTATGGAACATTTCTTCCCTGTTCCCTACCGTAAGGGGGATGGTATGGAACATTTCTCCCTGTTCCTTACCATAAGGGGGATGGTATGGAACATTTCTTCCCTGTTCCTTACTGTAAGAGGTATGGTATGGATGGAACATTTCTTCCCTGTTCCCTACCGTAAGGGGGTTGGTATGGAACATTTCTTCCCTGTTCCCTACCATAAGGGGGATGGTATGGAACATTTCTCCTATTCCCTACCGTAAGGGGGATGGTATGGAAACATTTCCTCCCTATTCCCTACTGTAAGGGGGATGGTATGGAACATTTCTCCCTGTTCCCTACCGTAAGGGGGATGGTATGGAACATTTCTTCCTGTTCCCTACCGTAAAGGGGATGGTATGGAACATTTCTTCCTATTCCCTACCGTAAGGGGGATGGTATGGAACATTTCCTCCCTATTCTTACTGTAAGGGGGATGGTATGGAACATTTCTTCCCTGTTCCCTACCGTAAGGGGGATGGTATGGAACATTTCTTTCCCTGTTCCCTACCGTAAGGGGGATGGTATGGAACATTTCTTCCCTGTTTCCCTACCATAAGGGGATGGTATGGAACATTTCTCCTCTATTCCCTACCATAAAGGCGATGGTTGCGATTTGGTATGTTCCCTACCAAGATTTCTTCCCTGTTCCCTACCGTAAATAGGGGGATGGTATGGAACATTTCTTGTCCATTCTCTACCAGGGCACCTTAAAGGGGGATTTGCCATGCA